CGGAGATCCCAACTCCGCAGCGCGAGCCGGCGGCGCGCTCCACCTGGCGTCGCCCAGGTGGGGCAGGCGCGTCCAGCGGTTTAGGAGACTTGGAGGGAGCGAGCCGGCCCGAGTCCCCCTACGTTCCGCGTGTCCCGGGCGGGGCGCCCCAGGCGGGTGTCCAGTCTACGCGGTGGGCGACAGCGTTGGAGAACTCCTCCTCCGCCGGCAGGGTGGAAAGGAGCCTCCTCCCAGCCCCCTCCCTCCATACGCAAATCTGGGGCCAGAGCCAGAGCCAGAGCCCCTCATGCGTCCCCGCCCGGGTCACCCCCCACAGTCGCTTTGGAACCCTAAATCCGTTAAGGGGTCTGGATCTGCCTTCATCAACCAGGATTATCTGGGATTTTACTAATCAGTAAAGGTTTCTCCACCCATTATTTTCCAGGGAAGGATTCCAGCCCCTGTCTGTGGCCAGCCACCAACGCGCACTCCACCTCCCTCACTCGCCCTGCCTCAGTGCGTCTGGCCCTTTCCTTCTCCAGGCCAAGGCTGGACGGGGTGTTAGTGGCTCAACAGACACCAGTCTCGGGCTTCCGGAGCCGCCCGCCAGGCTGGTATAAAGCACAGATGCTCTGGGAGTGGGACGCCCACCGTTAATGGGGTATGGTGCCTGTCTGCACCACCACCACGTCCTAGGGCTCTGCTCCTCTGGGGTCTCCTCCCGCCTCTGCCCCCCTCCGTTGCTTTTGGGTCCCCTTGAAAGGCTGTTGTAGCAGACACTGTTCTCATCTGTGCGCTGACCCCTCTGCCCACAGCTTGCAGGTCCTCCGGTGCCCAGGCCAGACAACCTCCCCGGCAGCTTCCTCTGGTCTCCAGAATCCACTTTGCCCACTGGTCAGAGGTGACAAGGAGTGACACACCCTGCGAGGCCCAGAACCAAGGACAGGCAGGAGTCGGAGTATAAACACATTCCACCCTGCCTCCCAGAAGTCCCCAGCCAGGTCTGCGCTGGTCACCACCAATTCTCACATCCCGTGTCACTCTCTTCCTCAGTGCCGTGGGTGCCCCAGACCCCCTGTCCTGGACTCCTGCACCTCCCTCACCCCACACCACCCGGTCCCCCACCCCAACGAAGGCTGCTGACAGCTCAGCACTGCCCCCAATCAGGAGAATCGGCCTTTGCTGACAAAAGCCCCTAACCCAGGCCACAAGTACCCACACCCACCCACACACACACAACATCTGATGGGCTGACATGACAAGGTGCAGGGCTGTCCCCTCCCCCTCAAAGGGACAACTCTGCAGAGCAGTTTCTGCTCCAAACCCCTCCCAGGTCATGGGTCAGCCGGGCCTAAGTGTTCATCCTGGTCCACACTTTCTCCCCTCTACAGCCGTCCCCCCCACCTAAAGCTCAAGCATCCAGACCCTGCTTCCAGATCTGCTTCCAGAGACCCTCTCGTGTCTCTCTGTCATACTCCCCTCCCGTGTTGCCTGAGGTCACCTCCCAGGTGAACTGCTCACTGGGCAAGCCCAGCTGGCATCCACACTGTGGAAACACACACATCACATCTCAGGCTCCCCATGGCCACCGTTCTCCCTCCCTCACGGGGGTCCCAGGTGCTGTCAGCATCTGCTCACCGAAAGCTCCCAGCCCTGGCTGTGCCCCAGAACCCCAGGCCCCTATCGCCTATGGCCGCCTGGACATCTGTCCCCAAGCACCCGGGAGCACTGGATTCAGCCTCTTTCCCCCAAGTCTCCCCAAATATTCGCCTCCACCCAGGGGCCCCAACAGGACCCCGAGTATCATCCTTGACGCTTCACTCTCCCCGCCAGGTCAACCTCCAATTACTAAACTAAGCTGAGCAGAACAGCAGACACCTCCTGGATTCCAGTGTGGACAGTTACTACTGCGGACACCATGGCAGAATGACCCCTGCCCTCCTCCCCATCACAGCTCTGTGCTGGATGCTCTGACTGTGCACGTCTTTCAGGTAAGGAAGCAAAGATGTGGGGACGTCCAACAATCACGTAAACTGCCCCAGGTCAACCCTCTGCCAAGCGGGAGAGCCAGGACTTGAACCCAAATACTGTGGGGCCACAGCTGGACCCTAGGCCGCCACCTGCCCCAAGCCCCAACCCAAGCCTCCATCCTCTCTCCACATCCATCACCACACTGGGGTCAGACCAAGCTCCCACTTGCTGGAGTAAAATGTATTTTTCATTCTGAGGCTATTCAGCATCCAGATGAGTTTGGGGGTGTCCTAAAGCAGTGGCCCCTAAAAAACATTCCACTCTCTGGCAACTCTGTTTCCACCTGGGCCCGCCGCCAAGGACTGAGGGGGAAGAGACGGCTTTTGTGCAGAGCAGTGGTGAGTGTCCATGG